TGTAAAGCCTCCAAGAACAAGGTGACAATTTCTGACCTGAAGGGGCATGTCTGCAACAAGCCGTCTACTCTACGAGCAGTGGAGCCAGCCCAGGTCAGGCAGGTGAGTTTCCATCCCGTATTTCAAGAGGGGACAGGTAAAGGGATTTGCTCATAGATACTGGCAGATCCCAGGGAGAAGCTGTTTCACCTCTCACAGCAAGGTACCAGCCACTCAGCTCGTTCAAATTGGCTGCAGTTCGGCAACTGCATCAGGTATGAACTTATGGAGCTCCCCCCACACCTGCTTTCCAAAATGTGCCTGTCTGTCTTTTAAAAGGAGTTCAAGGTCTTCTGAATATCAATAAGCAACAAGGTTCTCCAGAGGCTCTTCTGCCTTCTGTCTTGTTCAGATGACAAGAAATGCTACCTGCTCCCCGTGGTTTTCAGGTTTTCCACAAGGGAGGGAGGCTTTTAGGTCCTGTTGGCAGCGGTGCCTGCGATCCGGGACCCTCGGATGGAACTGATGTAAGGCAAAAGAGGAGGCTCCCACACCACCAACGTGGTGCCCTTGGGAGTATAGGCTCGGAGTAGCAATTCCTCTTCTGCATGAGCTGTCACTGCCACCCATCCTGCACAGCCAAAAGGAATACAGACAGTGAGACAAGTCCCCAGGATCATAATGAGGGTTCTGACACAAACTACTGCCTCCCATAGTGGTTGAGAACCTGAGCTTACCTATGTGTGATTTCTTTGAGAAACTAAGCTCAAAGGTCATATCCAGCTCTTTCCGAATAGAAGGCAGCACCTAAAGCCACATCTTACTCTCCCTAGACATAGCTCCTTCCTGGTAAACTGAAAAAGGATGGTGGGAACTACCAAAAACGCAATAAAGCTTTCCTATCAATGGCTCTTTCCCTCTCACCTGGACAGCCAACCATGTCACAGCCATTCCTGATGCTGTGGAACCTGTATGGCAGCCAGAACACAAAGCACTCCATTGTAGCCGTCCTGTACAAACATGGCTGTCAATCTCCATTCCTGGAGGTTGTCAAGCCTCAGCTGGACAAAGCCATGGCTGCTGTGATTTTGTGTTGTTGACAGTCCTGCTCTGAGCAGGAAATATGGCTTCACCCCTTCAGAGATCTCTTCCCATCAATGTTTCTAGGATGCAGACCCTGCAAAGCAAACTAATGAAGAAATATTAAATTACCTGCAGAGGAAAGCTTGATATCTGCAACTGCCTCAGTGGTACCAATTCCTTTCAGTGTAATGTCTTGAGGGACAAGTGGGGGGAACTCTTTCATTCGCTCTTCCCCACCCATGGGAACCTAAGATCAAAACACGGAGAAAAGATTTCATAGTCAAGAAATCCTTCAGAACTCCTACCTTAAACTGGCAAGCAAGGCACAAGAGGGAATAAACATATGAGACATTTGTTAGCCAATTAAGAGCTGGCTGGAATAATCTCCAGGAGCTATTTCAGGTTTGCCAGAATCAGTATCACATTCAGAGGAGCCCCATGGGAGGTGAGCAAAGATGAAGTGCCCACTGCAGGACACAGCTGGTGGCTCAGGCCAGCCACCTTGACATGAGTGACAGCACTTGTTCTCCATGTGCCCAGGAATGGGAATGCCAGGACAGGGACAGCTCACCCCATCTCCCAACCATCTGCAAGTGCTACACAGTACGTTGTCATACCAAGGAAGAAGTCAGACCACCGAAAGATGAAGAGGTGTGCAGAGGATCCAGCAGGTAAAGAATAAGAAAGGTACATTTTTCAACTGCAACCTGTGCTGAAACCCCAGTCTAAAGGTTTGCCATGGAAAATATCCCTGTTGCTGCCTGCACTTAAAGCCAGTTCAAGAAGAGCCAAGTATCAGAGAGCAGACCACTGCACATCTTCTCAGCCTGAATGCCAGAAACAGAAGCTCTCCTGAAAACATCTCAAGTGCTCTCTCCTATCACACCTGCAGCCACGCAGTCTTTGCAAGTGCAGTGCTCCACACTGCACGTTTCCATTGCAGAAGTCCCAAACTCCTGATATGTGTGGATTTTCCCTGTCAGTTGTGCCCCAGCCAGGGTGCTTCACCAGGCAGGACAGCTGCTTGCCTGCAGTCAAGAGCCCCTCATAGCACCTCCTCTCACCTTTAGTAACTCTCGGCCAGCGTGCTTCTCGTAGATGGCATCTGCGTTACTCAGGGTAGTGATGTGGACTGGCAACAGGTTAGAAGCCACGACAGAAAACCAGGCAGACTTTTCTCCCTGAAATAAATAACCATCATGGCTGGGCTTCGCCAAGATTTGGGGAGGGCTCTACCCACATTTGCTACAAGTGCGTTGGTGGCTAAAAAGGACAATACGAGATAGACAAGACAGGTTGCAAAAGGCACAGCAGAAAGACTCCTTAGGTGGTAGAAATAAATAACAAGAGGATGCTAATTATGGTAACAGAAAAGCAGTCCTGAATTTCTCTCTCCTGTCCCGTTTCTTTCCTGCATGTTAAAAAACTGCTTGCCTGATGTCCCCTCCCTGTCGGAGGGGTCCTTGCCTCTGCCACTGTGGAGCAGCCAGGGTTTATATCAACTGGGGAGTTGAGCTTTCAGGACAGAAGCGCCCACAGCTTCACCATCCTGCCTCAAAGCACCCCCAGTGCCCCATCTCCCGCCATCACAGCCGCTCAACTCAGGCAAATCAAGCCAGAGAGATCTTTACCTCTGAGTAGGGCATTACTACTCTGTCCTGCCAAGCTGTTTTTTTGGAACAGGGCTCTGGATTTTCACCTTAGCTATGATGGAGCTCTCCTGCCATACCAGTACATTATTACTTACAGAATCCTGCTCCCTCCACCTTCCTGGTTTTCTTTCAGCAGGTCAAGAATGTCCATAGCAAAGTACCAATTCAACATTTCTATGGTGATCTTGGAAAGCTGACTGAAACAAAGGAATAGCCATACACACCCCCAAAACAGGGCAAACTACTGAGAAAAGGTTCTAGCACTTATGATAATGTCTATGTGGAAGAAATATCATTGGAGGTCAGCTCCACGCAGTTCAGTAAAGGTGTATGGTATGGGATTTATAATAAATGGAAGAAATTATTGGCAGTGGGGACACACAGTACCTTTTAAAAATATCTTTATAGAAACTAAAATACATATGCAATTAATTACTTCCTCTGGCAAATTCTTCAGAAGTCTGTGTCAGGAAAGAAAAATGTCCATGCTTTTCTCTCCTGGTAGCCAGCTTTCACAAAACACAGAAATGAGGAAACCCACTTACTTTCCCAGCTAATTCTGGCATTCCCAAGGCATTCTGATCTTATGCAGTTATTTATTAACAGATTCATCATCTCAAAGCAGCAAAAAAGGGTCTGGGAAAGTTACCTAAAAAGCCTTTCATGTCTGGTACTATAGTAAGAAATGAAGCAGCTGCTCCCAAAATCCTTTCTTCCCTTACCTGTAAGTAGTCTATACATCCCAAGGCTGCTAAAAACAAGGCCGTTCCTGGCTTGAGAACGAAGGTCCGTGGAACAATGGCAACTGTTGGCAAAACTAGCTTTACTTCCTTCTCTGTTAGGAGATTCAAAACCTGCAAAATAAATTGTACTGCCACAATTCATTCCAGATGTTTCAATGGGGACAATGAAATTAGTATTGGCATTACATTGATAGAGAAAAAAGACCAAGTAAAGCAGTGTAAAGAACATCTGACAGAACAGTTCAATTCTTCCACATAGTAAGTGAGAAACAGGAAGAGGTAAGGATATCACCGTTCTCCATGGCAATGAAGGGTCCATGTCAAAATGTAACAGCTGTAAGCAGCCTGTTGGGCATGAATGTGAGAATTCAGGGTTTGGCTGGAACAAGGTCACCCAAGATTTACTATGTTTTAGCACAACTGCAGCCGTGTGCAGAACTGGAGACCACCTTCAGCTATGACATTTGAGTCACCCCACTTAGTAACACAAAGTGCCAAATCAATACTACCAGCAAAGCTAATCTTAAAGTATCTCACTAGAGAAAAGTCCTGGATCCCAGTGTGGATCAAACTGCAGGATGACCAGCCTGACTCACAGCACGGATCTGTACCCTGAGCGCAGTGAAACAAGCTTTCCCCTCTGTGAGGGCTCCCAAATGCTCCTGCTGCCCTGTCTTCCTCTCCTCCTCCTTCCTTTCCATCTCCTGGCTCACCTAGTTCATCTGTTTAGATCTTAATTGCTTTCACTGATATGATGCACCCCAAAAGTCTACCTAAAAGCCAGTGACTTAACCAGCAGTGCTGCAGTCACAGCAGTCTGATCACTTCCTATGGAAGTACAGTTCAAATCCAGTCATGCAACAATGTGTCAGCACAAAAAGCAGTGCCTTGAAGGAAACAACTTGTCTCCAGGTTGATGGCGTCTCCTTCCTAGGGAGCCGACAGCAGAAACGGTTCCAGCTGTGCCCCCAACACATGCCAGTCATGCAGATGCAAGTCTGGATTAACCTCAAGCTTTAAAAGACCAAAATAACAAGAGCTGTGGCACATCCAGAACCCCTAAAACTCTTCCTATGTTCACAAGCAGACATTCTTTAGCTTCAAAGTCAGGACAGACTTCAACATCAGTTCTAAAAGAAGAGAAGGTTTTGTCCTCCTAGCTGCAGGTTTTCTGGTGTGTTTGATAATGTTTAAAAAAAACCAGAAGTTGAGCTATCAGTAATAGTTTTCTAGGCTTTCCAGAAATTTGGCTTTGCAAGGAGTCATGAGGAAGCAGCTAAAAACAAACCTCCAAGGGAAAAGGCAAAAAATTTAATCCCATCAAATGCCAACAGCCACTTTCCTTCCCTCTTCTTCCAAAATAAAATAAATAAAATAAAATAAACCTCCTTATAACTTCCAAAATCTGCCATGTAAACAATCTGCTTGTCCTCCACTCAGATTGAACACTGACTGAAGGAACAAAATTTGATCTGACACTTGGCATGTAGCTTTCCAAAGGCACAGCAAGGATAATCAAAATCAGAAACAGCAGCATTTCTGGATGCAGGAAAGTCCTCTTGTTTACCGTGTTTATTCAACTCCAGAAGAGGGAAAGAACATATACAATCTCAAGTTACCAAACCAGCTCTCTAAGCTGATGAATGTCTTTACGCTGATGTAAGGGGGTACTTTTGAATGAGATGATCAATGGAGCATAGAGGGTGATAAAGAAAATCATATTAGGATGTGAAACCAGCTAGAGCATGGTACAATGTAACTTCATGGCACAAGCTAATTGTAAGGTCCATTGTGCTTTTTAGCAAGTCAGCCTGATATCCCCTATTATCAGAGCTGAGTTCCTTCTTGGTTTTGCTACATATTGCAAGATAGATACATCTACCCTTGAAACACAATGGGAGAGGTCATCCATAGGGGTGAGAAAGATGCTGGTGAGAGGAAGATTGTGTGGGCAGGGGTCGCTCGCCCCTTGCCCTACAGCAGGGCATGCGCAGACTGTTGCCATTAGGTAATGATTAGGCGGTGTTTGGCTGCCATTCAGGCATCACCTTATACTGTGTACTGGCCCTACGTGGTGTAATGTGGAACTGATAAAAATGGGGTGTCAGGATTGCTGAGTTGAGCGATCCTCATCCTACCACCGAGACTGTGTTGCGCCGTGGGGACGCCCGCTAAGCATGGGCACCGACCAGCTGCTGCAGATCCTGGCAGCCCTGGCCTGTCTGTGTGGGTAAGCACAGCTTTTTGATAGGAAGCAACCGAGAAAACAAACTTTTTAACCTTTTAATCCTTTTAGTGTTCCTTTTCATTCCCCTTTATTATTGAATAAGTTGTTCATAGTATTTTCCCTTTAATTTCCCCTTTTACTAACCAATATCGTGTTATCCATAATATTGTGCTAAGATTCCTTTTTTTTGGTATCTCTTTTTATTAGTTAAGATTACACCGTATTGAATGCTGTTCGTAGTATTTGTTTTAAGACCACACGATAAGGTAGTTATTTTGTATCTCTTTAGTTTTTGATTCTTTTCACTAAGTTTATTGTTATTATTACTATTCTCACTGTAATAAAGATATTTTGTGTGTTTGAATATCTGTGCACTTGTTTTATTCCGGGCATGTATCCTTAACGAACTGTTACACCAGGTTAGGGACTGGCCTTCTGCCTGGAGCTGGAAGAGCTAAGACTGGCTACTGTGCAAAGTGGACTTCAGTGGAGGCAATGTGGACTTAATACATAGTAGGGGAAGGACTTTCGGGTTTTATTGAGCTGTGCCTTCCTCTGGTTTTGTTTGCTGGCAATAAATGAACATCCAGTCACTGGGGTGGACTGGGAGTCACTGGGATGGACTGGGAGTCACTGGGGTGGACTGGAATGGACTGGGAGGCACTGGGATGGACTGGGAGGCACTGGGAGGCACTGGGAGCACTGGGGTGGACTGGGAGGCACTGGGAGTCACTGGGATGGACTGGGATGGACTGGGATGGACTGGGAGTCACTGGGAGTCACTGGGATGGGCTGGGATGGACTGGGAGTCACTGGGGTGAACTGGGAGTCACTGGGAGTCACTGGGATGGACTGGGATGGACTGGGATAAACTGGGAGTCACTGGGGGGGACTGGGATGGACTGGGATGGACTGGGATGAACTGGGATAGACTGGGAGTCACTGGGAGTCACTGGGATGGACTGGGATGGACTGGGATAGACTGGGAGTCACTGGGGGGGACTGGGAGGCACTGGGATGGACTGGGATGGACTGGGATGGACTGGGATAGACTGGGAGTCACTGGGGGGGACTGGGAGGCACTGGGATGGACTGGGATAGACTGGGAGTCACTGGGAGTCACTGGGATGGACTGGGATGGACTGGGATAGACTGGGAGTCACTGGGGTGGACTGGGAGGCACTGGGAGCACTGGGAGCATTGGGAGGCACTGGGAGGGGGTTTGTAGCACACTGGTCCCTTACTGGGACGAACTGGTGTGAACTGGTGCCCGCGGCTCCGCCCCCCCAAGGGCGGGGCCGGATGGGCGTGGCCTCACCTCGTCTCCGCGACTCCAATTCCAGCAGTTCCCGGCAGGTCTCCACCTGTTCCCACAGCACCTGGGGGTTGGCCATGCCCACCTCGGGCCTGAGGGGGCGGGGTTTGGTCGGAAAGGGGCGTGGTTTTGCTAAAAGGGGTGTGGCTTGAGCCCATATTGGGATAGAAGCAAAGGGAGGCTAAAGGAGGGTCGAGGTGGGCAGGGCTTAATCAAAGGGGTGTGGTTTGGCCATGAGGGGTGTGGGTTAGCAGCAAAGGGACGTGGATTAGTAAGAGAGGGGCGTGGTCTAGCAGCAAATGGGCGTGGTTTAGCCAGAAAGGGGCATGGCTTGCTCGCCCCATAGGGAAACATAAGGGGGGGCTGAGGGAAGGTCCAGGTGGGCGGGGCCTCGCTGATTGGCCGTGGCTTTCTCCCGGGGCCGGGGCCTCACCAAGGGGGCAGGGTTTTCTTCAGGGGGAAGCGGTTTACCAAAACAGCTCCTGGGCCACGACTGGCTTCTGCCACCAGGCCTCATCCTCGTCTAGGAGAGAAAAGGGGCGTGGCTGCGGTGAAAGGGGGCGTGGCTCAAAGGGGCGTGGCAGGGATTGGGCGTAGCTCTCACCTGGCAGCAGCGTCACCTGGCGGTGGGCGGAGTCAGGCTCCCAGGTGACACCCAGCTGGAGGCGTGGCCGCTCGGTGGGCGGGGTCTCTGCAGGGTGGGGCAGGTCCAGGAGCTTTGATACCTGTCAAGGCGTGTTGGGAGAGCCACACCCCCATGTCCCGCCCTAAGCCCCGCCCACCCCAGCCCCGCCCTCCTGTTTAGGGGAAAGGATACTCAGGTGTGGCTGGGGCGTGGCCACCCTTCCCCTGAGCGCCACGCCCCTTCCAGGGCGGAGCCATCCAGGGTCGCCGTCAGGTCCAGGCGATCCGGGCTCACCTGGGGGCGCAGAAACGGTTGGGTTTTAACCCAAAATCGGAGCTTTCCCGCTCCCCAAAATGGGCGTTTTTAGCTCCAAAATATTCAGGGTATCAGGTCTACCCGTTAAAGTCAATGGAGTTGAGGGGACAACAGGTCTACCTATTAAAGGCAATAGGGCAAAGAAGACACCAGGTCTACCCATTAAAGACAATAGGGCAAAGAGGTTATCAGGTCTACCCTTTAAAGTAAAAGGGGACAATCTGGACATCAGGTCTATCCATTAAAGACAATGGGGCCAAGGGGACACCAGGTCTACCCATTAAAGTCAATGCGGATCAATAGGTCATCAGGTCTACCCATTTAAGTCAATAGGACAAATGGGATATCAGGTCTACCCATTAAAGTCAAAGGGACAAATGGGATATCAGGTCTACCCATTAAAGTCAAAGGGGCAAACTGGACACCAGGTCTACCCATTAAAGTCAATAGGGATCACTGGGCCATCAGGTCTACCCATAGAGTCCAGTGATCTCAGTAGGTCAGGCCGCACTGTTTTGGGGGGTTTTTTTGGGGGGAGGGGAGATCCAGGTGTCCAAGGGGTTCACAGATGTACAGAGGGGG